GAAAACTGAGCTGCCCTGGGACAGCTTTGCTGGCCTGTCTGTCACCCTGGTGCTGGTGACGGAGTGCGGCAGGCGCGTGGGGTTTGATCCATTCTCTGGAGATAATTGATGTCTAACACACCGCGCTCCGTGCAGCTCTGACGTGCAGCGAGTGGTTTGGTCACACCGAGCTTGGCTTGGAGTAATAATCTGTGCAGAGTTACAGGAGAGGCGTTTTCTTTTCTTTTTTTGCCTTGTTGAGCTTTGTTTGATATTTCTTGCTGCTCTTGGGTACCGCTTTTGAGATTTCAAAGGGATGATTTCAAATAGCAGTGAAGAAATGGAGTTTCAGATGTAAAAATATTCTTTAAACGTCTTTCTTAAGAGTCTTTACTTTCATCATTACTTCAGGATATTTGTGCTTGGGTAAAGAAGCCACTCTGTCAGAAATGTTCTTTTCCTGCTCTGAAGCCATAGTTCAGTAGGAAAAGGAGAAAGCAGGAGAAGATGGGAAACTGTGTGGGAGTATAATTAGTACATTTAGCAAGATAAATCTGGAGAGAGGAAAAAAAGGCCAGATAAATACATTTATGCTGTCTGAGTAATTACTTACAGAATGTTTCCCTTTGTAAAAAGATTTACCAACCTAAAATTTCAAATAGAATAAAATGCTGGCTTCCAATATATCAGAAAAACAGGTCCTGAAGATGCCCCGTTACAGGACAGACTGATGTAAGTAATGGACTCGGCTGAATGAAGATGTAGTGGTGTTTGAATCGCCAGGGTAATTTGGGAGGCAGGGAAAGGATTGTCTGTTCAGAGGCTGGAGCTGAGAGAGGTAATAAAAGCTTTTTCATATAATGAGTCTGCATCTCTGCGTTTGAATCGGTGTTAAGGCTTTTAATTTTTTCAGGATTTGTCCTGAGGATATTTGGGCTCTAGAATTTATTTATTTTTTTTTTTAATCAAACATAGCAATATTTCACAGGAAAATTAGCCTCATATTTCTTGCTCTCGGCAATCAGACATACTTTTCACCCAATGCATACATTCCAAAGTGATGCATAAAGGTGGCATTTGTCCTGTGGTTTTTCCCTCGTCTGTTTTGCTAAATTGCACAAACATCGTAAATTAGCGAGAGGACAGACATCAAGGAGACATTAGAAGTGTGGTGGTTTAGAAATAATAATAATAATAATAATAAAAAGTCCATTCCTAATAGAGTCAGAAAAAATGATCAGATTTAATAGTGGTTTGGAAACTTAGGGAGCTTTTGCTTATGGCTTAGTATGAGCGGCAGAAAATTCAGTTGCATGTGTCTGGCGGCGTTCGCCAGGGAGTCAACCTTAAATTCCATCTCGGAAAAACGTAGATTCCCAGGTTTCCTTGGAACAATGACACATCCTCTGCCAGGAAAAGCATCAACCTTTCCACTGACTCAAAACTCCTGGCGTAAGACACTTCAGCATTCTTGCCATCTCTTCTCTCCTTGTGATTTCTACAGATGTGTGCTGAGTTTGAGATGAAACTTGCTGAAGTTTATACTTGTCCATGAGACCGGTTCCTTGTCATCTGCCCCAGCACATCCTTCTCTGCTGAGGAGCTGGAATCTCCCGTGACCTGTTCCTCCTGCCTGGAGCACTGTGCCAGGTGCTGCCAGCCGGTTGTGTAGGGTCACGGCATCAAGTGAATGGGGAGGGTCTGCCAGTGGGGCTTGTGTTGCTCACGCTTAATAGCAACTTCTAATAATTTTAATATTATGAAGCATTGCAGTTTCTCTTATTATGTAGAAAGCAGCTGTATTCATGTTATATATTGAATTACTGTGATTGGCAGTGAGATGCATTTTGAACCCGATCAGAAGGTGCATTTGCATTCCCTCACACACAGACAGGCGCGGTCTGTCCATCGCTTCGCAGCAGGTTTTATGGCGATGGTTTTATGTGTGTGTTGCACTTGATCCATCCAGATCAAACTGAGTCACGGGCAGGAGCCTGTGTTCAGGAACGCCTCGGTAGATGCACCTGCTGTTCAGGGGCGTGTTTCTGTCAGCACCTTGGTGTGAGATGCCAGAATGTATCTGACGGCTCTGGCTCGGTAATGGATGTGTGTGGTTGTGCTTACATTTTGCTGGAAAAACGAGTAATTGCTCCCTGTGGCTTAATACTGTGTTGATTACGTACTCATAGTGACACTAAAAACTTTCTGCAGGAGCCAGTCACCAGTGTGCAAATAGAGTGATGCACAAACTGTGTCTCTGCTGGCTCCCCATCAGTGCGGTGTTTTCAGAGGAGTTTAGAGAAAAGCTGTGTGGAATATTGACATCGATTCCAAGAGTTCCTCGGAGTTATTCCACAAGCTTTTGCTGCTTTCTAGAGTGGTCTGCCCTGGGTACGTCCCAGGTCAGCGTAGGCTTCACACCTCTGACATGAGATGGTTTCTTGGTGGATTGGTTTACTTCAAGTGTGGTGGTACAGACAGATTTGGAATTTGGGAGGAATGATTCTGCTCCTTCTACCTGGAAACAGATAGGGAGAAGATTTGGAGGGAGAAGGGACCAAGTGTATTTCCTTAGCCTATAGTTTTAATTCTCTAGTTAATTATCATCTAGTTATTTAATGCCTTCCACATTAAATTCTAATCTTAACTCTAATTCTATTGAGGGGAAGGGATTTTTTTATTTACTTATTTTCTGGTTTGCTCTCTTTTTTTTTTTTATTTTTAATTTGTTTTAGCCACAAGATTTTAAGCTTTAGATGACCAACACTGTGCAGAATGAGTTATGTCATTGGAAGCGAGGCAAGTTCATGGTGTGAGTTATCAAACACACAGAATAGATTTGCCAAAGCTCTTGTAAAACCTTTTCTTTAAGTTATGTGCTGTCCTGCGTGCCGGCTCTGCGCCAACGCCTCTGCATTACTCACTTGCTGAGATACGTGTGTGCGAGCGAGATCCAGAACAAGTGTTCATGGCTTTATGGAGCAGAAGTTGAAATAAATAAGTTTCATAGACAAATCAAGTGTAGGCTACATGAGCTTTGCACAAATGATCCTTTCTTCAGGAGAGCTGGTTGATGGAGTTAACATCACTTGGCAAAGAAGGAAATTAAAGCCAAAGCTATCTAAACGAGCTTGCTTTGACATCTGGGGGTGAGAGGCACAGCGAGGAGAAGCAGACGCAGCCCCGTTGACCTTGCAAAGCAAAGCCAGCTCTTACCTGGTCAGGATTTGGCACTTTAGTAGCCAACAATCCTAGTCTTGGCAACAGATGTATGTGGTGCTTTTCCTTGAAATGGTTTTCGAAAACTTTGGTTGTTTGTAAGAGCAAATATAACATAAAAGTGTCTGAATCTCCAAAGTTGTGTTTTTCATTCTTTTCCTGCCTGTGGTCACACTGTCAGGTGAAACACTGGAAAGCTGCCTCTGCTCTCATTAAAGTCCTCTCTGCAGTCGCTAGCCCTTGCTTTTTGGATCTCTGTGCAGGGAACGTGGCAGGTCCTGTGTGCCTTCCAGACAGGTTCACAGTAGGCTTGAAATTGTGGCGCTCCAGACAAACAAATGAGTCTTTAGAATGCCTGCTGCTTTGCTCCAAGCACAGATCTGCCAGAATTTGATGTGAGGATTATTCTTGGAGGGAGAGCAAAAGGCATCTTCCAAAGCCACTTTGGAGAGGAGAGATGAGAGAGTTTGTTTTGTTCTTGTTAACCCCTGTTGTGGAAGGGAAATAAATGCCCATGCACAGCATCGTACTCTGTAAAACCACCGAGCTTCTGAATGAGACTCCTGAATGCGCCCTATCGTAACTTACTTATCCCCCTGTTTATTTTGCTGCTGTTTATCTCCACAAGAGGAATTGCCAATAAATTATCCTCGGCAGGAGGCTCCTGGAATCGCTGTCTTTATCTACCAGTTTACTAGAGATGAGCTGCTTTTTCCCAGGCTGTGGGGAGACCACATGAACTAGAAGCATTTTTAAGCTGATCCTGCCTGTAGATATATGATCAATAAAGGCTTGGCTAGCAAGCACTGCTCCTTTTGGCAAAATTGTGTTTGAGCAAGATATACGACTTAATTTTGTCTTTCAAGATATGAAGGTGGAACTGTTACTGTTGATACTGTGAGATCCCGATTGCTTCTTCAGCTGCTCTCCTGCTCTTGGAAATCTTTAAGGGAGGGTTTCATGATTTTCTCTTCCTGGGGCTCTGCACTGGATAAGAATCTCTCTTTCATTTATGAAACAGCTTCTTGAAAGATATTTCAGGTTTTAATCTGCTTTGCAAACAGTCTGAATTGCTTATGATCAGTTTGTAACCTGTGTTTTTAGAGCAGATCATGAAATGTAAGCCATTGTAAGGGGAGGGTACCAAGACTAGTGGGAGTAACAGGACTAGTGGTGGTGCTTGGGACGTGGACTGGAATGACACAGTTAAATCTCTCCTCACTGCTCTGAAAAAAAGCACATCCTGATGTTGTATTTAATGACTCTGTATGTGATGAATGGAGCCATAAAACTCTCTGTTGTGGTAAATTGCTTTGACAACACTGAAATTAGGAGATATGTTTTATTATCTAATGTCTGCCTGAACATATAAAATAAAAAATGAGTAAAATTGGGAGGGGGGGGGGGATCACTGTTATCTGATACATGAATATTTATAGAGGTATTTTCAGTAAACAAGTAATTTTGCAGAGTTCTAAGCTAGAGGTTTAATCCCTGGCTTGAACAGTTTGCCTTCTTGTGATTGTGTTATTTCTGAACCGTGTTTTTATTTTTAAACTGTCAGGTGAGATGTCAAAATCCAGTGACATTCAAGGGGCTGTGTAAGCCATGAACGCTGAATATTTTCTATCTGACAACTCCAGACAGACAAGCACTTCCCTGATTCCCTGAGAGTCAGCATGTCTTGGAGCAAGTTGATGGGAATGTTGTGCTTCATGCATTATTACATGGCTGGTTTATCCCTGTTCACTGACCTGGGCTTTCTCTCTTTCCTCCACCCCCTCCCCACTCCCTTGGTGTAGCTTTCGCTCCCAGAGGAACAGAATGAAGTAACGAGGAACGGCTGTGAATCCAAGGAACTGGTCTACCTGGTACAGATCTCTTGTCAGGTAAATGCCACCTTGTTTTACAAACTGTATTTCATTCTGGTTGGCAACACAGCTTCGGAATATTTTGATACGAGACTTTTCTGCAGCACGTGTGGTTTTTTTCCACCTCTTCATTAGCTCCGTCCTCAGAAGGATGCTGTCTGTGGTGCTGCGACCAGCTGGTTTTAAGAAAAGCAAAAAGAAAAGGAACATTGAGGGGAGAAGAAGGGGTCTGTTAAGCAAATAATCCTCCCTGCAGTGTGTGCAGAGCTGCACAGTGATTAGCCTAGAGACACAAGCGTGCATGCTTTGGTTACGCGTACGTGTGTCTGTCAGTGGAGGGGGAGTGTTCACTGACACACGGACGCACCAGAGATATAAACAGAGGAATTACGTGAGGGAGAACGCCGGCCAGTGTTTTTGTTGATCAAGGCATGCTGCTGACAGCCAGGAGATGGGGATTCTTGATCTGTTCCCAGTTATGTCTCCAGACATCTGGTATGAAATTCTTTCACTGCTTCTGCTACTGTGGTATCAAAATGCTTTTGGGCAGATAAATCTGCTGCTTTGGTACCACAGATTCCCTGTCTGCTAATGTGAGGAGAGTGACTTCGTAAAATGCTACATCATGGATTATTCTGTTTTAATATATTGAGTGAAATTATTGTTTGTGGGAGACATGTTGCACTGACAAATTCAGTTGAGAGCTAATGCCTGTGGTTGGTCATTTTTCTGGCTTAGCATAACTAGGCGTGAGCATCCATCTTATCAATTTAGAATCACACAGGGTAATTCCCGGCTCTGACGGTGCAAATACACACGAGCACGTGTGTGTGCGTGGACATGTACTTATAGATAGTGCTCCTGGGAAAGGGAAGAGAGGCTGGAAGTGGACATCTCTTAAAGATGCCCATGTTTAGGCATTTTGCTAGTGCTGTTCTAACCCAGCTGTAACCAGTTTCATACAAAATCACCATTTTTTAGAAAAGCAATCCAAGCCAACAAGCAGTACTGCAGAATTCAATGGTGGATGTATGTCTGTGTCCCAGTACAGTGCCTGAGAGTGAGATTTTTCAGTGGACATAAGGAAATCAGAATTTCGATACAGTTTGAGCCCTCACATTTGGGACTGCATTTGCAGCACTTAATGCAGAACTGGACCCTGTGTTCTTTCTTGACTATTTCAGCTGGGCCTATAGAAATGACAATATTTTATACAACACTTTTTCTCTGACCCCAAAGCACACCACTTCTGATCTTTCTGCCTACCTTACTGACATCTCCAAAGATTAATGGGACACCTTCAGGTATGATTGTGTCCTTAAACCCTGCAAAGCCCAGGAGCTTTTCCTTTTCTTTTTTTTTAAGTAATCCTTCTATCTAGCTACAGTTTCTCCCCACCCCAAGCCTGTGATTCACCTCTTCCATGTTAGTCTACATCCCTGCCTCTCAGAGACAAAGCTGAGAAACTTGTGGCATCTGGATTCAATGAACGGAGAGGCATGGAAGGAGCTGCACAGCTGAGCATCATTTCTACCGTGGAGCTCCTTCACCCCTGACATCTCGTGGCCTCTCCTAATGTCCAGGGAAAGATTCCATTCTGTCACGCGTTGGATACCAGCGGTGTCTGGATGGGTTTGGCTCCACCTTAGAATTGAAAGGGAGGTGTGAAATAGCTCATGGAATGATAGTGCAGTGGGGAGAGATTTTGGCAGGACGCGTCTGTATCAGGCCAAAAATATTGAAGGAGTGAGGAAAAAAAGCCTATGAAACAATTTTAACTTTGCTCGCCTTTGCTGTTGATGTTCAACCTGCTGCAGCAGCTTGGAGAAGTCTTGATTTCTCAAATGGACACAGAGAAAACAAAGTCTGTTAATTAAAGTTAAACCCATATAAATTTAAAAGCTTTAAGATATTTGTGATTTGTTGCTAAAACAGTCTGGTGAAAAGCAAGGGCGTTTGGCCACCCTGGTCATTTCAGATTACAGATCTTAAAGAAACAGGCTAAAAAGCTAGTTTGGGGGTTGGATGCACTACACTGCTCTGCCTTGCCCAGTTTGGGCTCCGCAGATACAATCTGTGTGTTGTGTGGTCCATAAAAAGACATTTATTTTGTCATTTCACTCTGTAGCAGACAACAAACCAAAGCTTTTGAACATGAGACTTTTAAAACATTCAGCTCAGTCTTAGCTGTGTTTGGCAGACTCCAGTTTGACATTTACACTAAGGAAATTCTATCCCACTCTTTCCCATCTGTAAGTATAATTTTAGTGGTGTAAAGAGAATTATTGTTTGATGCTTATTTTGCAAAACCTTCCCAGATAAGGTTTGAAAAAAATATATTTTTTGGAATTGTATTTGTGACACATTTCTGCTGCAAGTCAGCTTGTGAAATACAACCTTTGTGTGAGGTTCAGAGGGGTTTTTTTAAAGCCTCTATTCAGCTTTTCTTCTACTTAGAGACTTCAAAAAATTAATCCAGTTGATTAGCTCTTAAGAAGGAGTGGGAATATATAGAGAGCTGTTCCAAGTGTTCCTGAAAAAATGGCAAGATAGGATTCTTCTTTTGGTGAACATGAAAACTAGCAAATGACAAAGGCAGGGTTTAAAATGTTATGGGGAAGAGCTGATGATGAGTTTGGTTTTTTAGAGCAGTGTAAGTGGATTTCCCTTTTTTCCAAGTAAGATTGCAGTGTTTAACTTCCATTCATTTCTAGAAGATTACTTTCAGAACTTGTGCAGTTACCGCTGTTGAAAGATTGCTATTATTAAAATAAATGTATACAGAATCCTTTTCTGTGATAAAAGAAGGGAGAGAGGGAGGGATGGAGGGATGGAAAGAAGATTTTTAAACAATCTATAAATGCTTGAAATCTGAGGAGCAATTTTGGGGAAAAGTAATAACGTTTTGAGGCTTCACTTTCCCAGAGTGCAGACAGTACACCACGTGCATTTTTGATAGGGAGGAAAATGTCTCTAAAGAATTTTAGGGACTTTTTTTGTGTGTGTGTGAGACCTTTATGAGTTTCTGCTGTACCTGTAGGCTCTGAAGGCCCATTGACAGTGTTTGCAATCCTTGCTAAGTTCCACGGGGATAAGCAAAGAGTTTACAAGGTCTGCAACACATTTAAAAAGGGCTGGTATGTGTGTTGAGAATAAAACAGCAAAGGTAAGATCCTGCAAAAAGGCTGAAATAGGCTGATCCATCCAGTGTGTTTTGTCGAGTTGTGTCACAGGCTGAAACGTGCCTTTTTAATGCTTTTTGGATTTGTTTGTGTGACATTACAGCAGCAGCTACCTGCATACATATTTATTCTTGTAAGAATGGTTAATCTAAGCTTTTATTTTGAAAGAAATGAAAAATGCAAAATGAATTACAGTGTGAGATTTGCACTATTTCAACACTACAGGCATCATTTCTGTGAAATTTCGAATGGTGAGGAGAGAACAAGAGACCAGCTGTAAAAATGTTCAAGTTCTAAGGGAGGCCTTAAAGTCTGGTCATCTCTTGTGGTTTCTATATTTCATTTTCACTATCACAGGTAGATTGTTGAAAAAGAAACGACAGGCACTAGAAACCAGAAATGACAGACTGTGCAAGTATGAGTGATGTTTAAAAAAATCTTAGGACTAGATCTCCTGACAGACCCTGAAACACAGACTGACTGTTGTCATCTCAGAACCCAGCCACCCTACCTTCTCCATTTCCTGCCTTTCTGGGGATAACGCCAGTGTCCTGCAGAGTAACTCTCTTTCTGCTGCAACCCAGGTGCATTTCTAAGGCTGTCCTCAAAGCAGGAAGCTCTCGTGGTCCAAGCATGGGTTTTCTCCATTTCTCTGCTCGTATTTGCAGCCCCCACACTGGCAGTAAGTTGAGCCACGTGGCTTTGTTGTACAGGATGCACAGTGCTTTGCCCTGTTCCTGTTTTTTGTCCAAGGCAGCTGTTGCTGTCTGCGCTCTGTTCCTTTTGATTGATAGAATAAGGTCTCTGATGTACTAGATGAAGGCATTTACGCAAATAGATGACACTTGTCTCTCCCAGCTCTGCCTTGCAGGAGATTCAAGCTCGGTATCTTCAGTTTGAAGAACTGTATTTGCAAAACTCTGAAGGCAGCTCCATCCAGCGTTCCACGCCTGGAAGCGTGGTTGCAATAATAAGTGCTTCGAGGGCAGCAGAGAGAATGCCCAGAAAAAATGGGATCCAAGTAGGAAGGACAGACAGGACTCCCCATCCTGGGTGGTTTGTGGGGAGAGGAGAGTGGAATATATTAATATTATATTATATTTTCACAGAAGCATATGTCTTACTCAGACTAGTAAGGTCTAAAGTATGGTTTACTGGTTCTCTCTGCCTGTGATAGTCCATACTAAAAGCCACAAAGTGCTTGCAGTAGGATTTTTGAGTCAAACATTCAAAAACCTTTTTTATTGTTGTTTTTTTTTGTCTGAAAGGATTGCTTTTTTTCTCTTTTGTTCTTTAATATTTTAATAGTTTCTTCTGGTGTGATTGAAGCTCAAACACCTAGAGAACAGTTACTGAGTAAGTGCTACGAGCATTCCTTCTGTGAAAAACTACAGAGATGACTCTAAGGGACAAATTCTCTCACATATATATATACTTGGGTGTGGTTTATATACATATATTAAAAAAACAGAAAAAAGCTGGTCTCATCTCTGTTATTGGGATATATCTGGGTGGAGCATCCAACCTGGATCCAACCCAATGCAAAATCTGTTTTCAGAATATGTCTTAACCTGCTTCTCCTGTCTTAATATAGAACTTTCTGCCTTTTTTGTTTAGAGAAGATTTTGCTAAACAAAAGCAGTGACTGTGTCCTTTTACTGAGTAGTAAGCTCAGGGGAAGTTTCACATTATGCCTGTCTCCTGCTGCTGTCCGTGAATTCTCAGCCCCTTCTTCCACCTGAGGTCTAGTGTGCGTGTAGCTGCTGAATGAGCCCTACCAAGGATGAGAAGCCAGTGCACCCAGGGGTGCTGGGGTAATTCAGTGGTGGTGCAGCT